CTCTTTCCAGAGAGCAACAAAGATTTTCCTTTCATCTGGAATGTCACAAAAGTAGTCGAAGCCATCAAAGGCCATTATCCTCATTAATACCCCAATCTTCAACCCCTCTAACTGGGGACTTCTGGATGAAGAGACTAATGAACTTCAATTCACAAATGTAACCACTGCCTTAATTAGTAGTAACACAATGCTATAGAATAGCTCCTGTTTATACAGACAAGGTCTTTAACAACATTAAAGGTTTAATACTGTCATAAATTTTAATACAACAGTTTAAACACAAGTGAGTTAATCACTCTCAAAAGTAAATTTACTTATCTGGGTAAGAAGTCCCTAACTTCATTAGTATTCTCTTACATTTATAAATTCCCCTTTGCCCTATCCGAGGGTTCACAGTATTGGCATTGTCTTTAGCTATAAAAATCAATCAGACTGATACATATTCATTAAGTGACTGCTCCAAACAGATTGCTGGTGCTTGTCTTGGTTCTATTACAAAGGGAGTGAAAGGCTTAAGCAAATCACAGCCTCACTGGGCATCAAACTATAGGAAATGAGAAGGTTGTATTAAGTGATTACTAAGGTTTCACTCTTGTTCTAACTAAATGCAGTGCTATAATTATACATGTTTTGAAAAGCCCCAGGTACTGAGGCGCATGCCAGAGTAGTGAAATATACAGCCACTCCACTCAGATGCACCGGAAATCCAAGTTAAAATATACACATGCCATCTTGGAAAAGGAGGCATTAAGACAGCATCAGCCATCACTGTACTAGGGCTTAGCTCCCAGCAGCGAGAGTCCCCAGGACAAGCAGCTGCTCAGAAGAAAAGGGTTAAAGCGGGCATTACAAATCAAATACCTGCAGGAGCCAGGCAAAGAGCATAAACAAATGGACAGATTTGGGTAGGAACAGTGAAAAAAAATATGGCCCTGCTCCTTGGTTCCATCTAATTGTCTTGTAGGAATGAAGGCTCTGGGTTATCCCTATTCAAATTTTTCAAGAGAATGTTCCAAATTGGTAGAACCTGATTTTTAAATATTGAATCAGAATATTTTAAAACACTCTACAAACCAAATATATTTTCACCCTAGATATACTTACAGGACACCAAATTTGAGACCTCTGAGGTGGAGCACTGTACTGCTAAGGCAGGTAACAGGGATGAGGAAGGCGTGGCAAGCAGGAGGGATGCAGAGAAAGGGGACGGAGGGGTTGCATTGACATGTGAGTGTGGTTCTGTGGGAATCCAGAGGAGGAAGCAAACTTGGAGCAAGGAGAGGCTAGGACAGTCATTCCAAATCTTTTTTGGGCTCATGAATGCCCTATGAGATTCTGACAGGGGTGTCCAACCTTTTGGCATCTCTGGGCCACACTGGAAGAAGAAAAGTTGTCTTGGGCCACACATTAAATACACAAACACTAATGAAAACTGATGAGCAAAAAAAAAAAAAAAAAAAAAAAAAGGTTTTAAGTCAATTTACAATTTTGTGTTGGGCTGCATTCATAGCCATCCTGGGCAGCAAGTGGCCTGTGGGCCATGGATAGGACACCCCTGCTTCCCTGGAAAAATCAATGTATATGCAGTAGGCAGAATAATGGTCCCCCAAAGATGTCCCTGTCTGCATCCCTCGCTCCCTCCTTGTGTTACCTTACATGACAAAAGAAGTTTTACAGATATGATTAAGTAAGGACCTTGAGGTGTGGAGATTATGATGGATTATGTGATTCGGCCCAACCACATGAATCCCTAAAAATCAGAAGATCTTTCCCAGTCATTCTCAGAGATACTATGTTACTAGCTTTGAAATTGGAGAAGAGGCTGTGAACTGAGCAATGTAGGCAGCCTCTGAAAACTAGAAAAGGTAAAGAAATGGACTAATCCTCCCTTATCGCCTCCAGAAAGAATGAAGGCTTGCTGACACATTGACACGGGTCTCAGTGTTGGAGGTCTATCCTAAAAAACTAGAAGATTATACATTTGTGTTGTTTTAAACTACAGGTTTGTGCTCATTTTTTTATAGTAGCTTCTAAAAGCCAATATAGTATACATATATTCAAACTTTGGCGAAAACATTCATAGTCCTCCTGGAAGCTCATCCACAGACAGGGATAAAGGTTCCTTGTGCTAGAAAGAGCTGAAGGCACAAACGCTCTGAGAGCTGAAAGTATGAAGCTATTTTTAATTGGCATGTATGGAAAAATCAATGCCTACACCATAACCCAGTCAGCTCCAAGATCTCACTTCTACAGGGATGGATTCATTCTCTGAAGACAACTCTTTCAAGTGTCACTTAAATGAAACATGAGATGTTTGTCACTCACTTGACTGCTCCTTGGTACAGAAAGATGTTTCTTCCCTTTCTCTAATTGTTTATTGCTAATAACAGTCTCTCCCGATCCCTAAGAAGGTGGCATTTTACACCTGCTGAGATTTACTCTGACTTCTTTCCTTACCTTGAGCCAGGCCTAAGTCATATGTGTTCTGTTACAGTATCATGTCTCTATCAAGATCTTATTGGGCATCATCTGCCTGAACCTGGCCATATGCTGACGTAAAACGGAAGATGAAGGTTATCAGGAATGTGAGCTACCTGACTCAAAGTTGTTTTTAGCCTCAGATCTCATTTCACCAGTTCATCGAGTTTCACCATTCCTGTAATATTTTGAGATTTTTTTTTTAAGTACCATTAGACTGTCCCAGAGTGACACCACCAGGGTTGCGACAATTAACTGTAGTTTAAAGGTTACCAGCCTGGTGTAAATACTAAATCTAATAGTTACAAACAAAACTGGCCTAACATGGCTCCTGATCTGCAACTTGACACCAGATCCTGTGATTGCCACACTTGGTGCATGGAATTTCTGGAATGGAGGCTGAAGTCGTGGTGGTGGAGCAGGGGGTGGGGGGTGAACAGCAAGGTATGTGGGGTCCTGTGGAGATTTACTGAGGTATAGAGGAAGACAGGCCAGGTCTGTGTTTGTAAGAAGTGGCTAATCTGTTGGGAAGACAAGCCTGACTTAATGAGGAAGGCTGCCCCATAACCTTGTATCGGTTCCCTTTCCTGACGTGCAGAGGAGATCTAGGAACCTCCTAAATGTTACACAAACTATCGTGTGTATATGCATCTCTTTTCTCTGAAAAATGGTGTCACATGTCTTTGGGAATCTGAATAAAACTGTAATTCCCACCCCCAAAGTTAAGAATACACTGCTTCCCTATGTGTTTCCTTATAGGGAGGGGTTTTATTTCATACTTTTAGTCTCACTAGTCCTATGTGAATGATACCCACCACATAATCCTATTACATTTCTGACTTGCCCTCTGATGATAGTGATATCCCTATTTACCTTCCTCGCCATTAATGAGATATAAAGTAGTTTTAAGCTTACCAAAAATCAGGCAACTTTAAGAAGGTTAATTGCTAACCATTTTCCCCACCATCAATCAGCCTCTATGAATATCCACCTCAAAGAGCTGTCATGTCTTCCATACGTAAATAAAAATGATGAAGTATTGGCTGAATGGCTCAGTTGGCTAGAGGATCGTCCCATGCACCAAAATGCTATGGGTTCAATCCTTGGTCAGGTCTCATATCTTTGTTGTGGCTTCAATCCCCAGTCAAGGTGCAATGGGAGGACACCAACTGATGTTTCTCACATCAGTGTTTCCCTCAGTCTGTCTGTCTGTCTGTCTGTCTGTCTCTCAAATCAATAAACATATCCTTGAGTGAGGATTTAAAAAAAAAAAGAAAAAAGAATGATTTAGTTTTGTTCTTTGTTTTTTCTTTTCTTTTTTTTTCTTTTTCTACTTTTTTTTGAAATGTGCATGGGAATATAGTTGGCCTTATGCTGAGAGAGGCAGTCACCAGTCTGGTCGGGGGAGATTGGGTCATTGCTTAAATTGGTCCTAGTCAGCCTAAAATAGCGTTATTGCAATAAAGCCTCGAATAGGAAGGAGAATGTCCTGATCAGCAGACAAATAACAAGGTTGAATCTTACCTGACCTGAGGTCAAGTAAGAATAAACAGACAAGAGAGGGCAACTTGTGAAGAGAGTGACAAATGGTGCCCATCAATCCAATTGGATAGGGGATTATCTTCCTTTGGCGTCCCCTCTAACCCTCTGGAATTCTGTGATTCTAAATTTAGTATGTTGAATATTTTAAAGCACAATTACATAGCATAATCTCCTCTGTAGTTGTTGATTCATTTAGACTCTGCAACCTTAGAAAAAAATTTCTAAAGGTCATGCTCAGAAGCACAGAACTCCCTTTCCACTGAGTCAGAGCTACAATTACACTGTACACAAGATCCTACATAGACAGCTGACACAACTAGTGGTCCAATTCTTCCTCCTGTTTATTTCCAGCAGAGACTTTCCATAGACAGCTGCAGAGCCAGGCTCCCGTCAGAGTGCCAGGCCAGCCTTGCTGCGGACAGTGTTTTCCCCATGTCCTTGCCCTCAACTCATGGCTGTCTCCAGCCTGGGGCTACCTCAGGGCCTAAGGACACCACTGGATCATCACAGAAGCCACACCTGCTAGGCCATAGTCAGACATGTGTAGGTTCAAATTCTGGCTCAGCTTTTTTTACTTGTGCAGATTCCTTAGTCTCCCAGCCTCAGTTTTCTCCTCCCTAAAATGGGACTACGGGGATGTGCTGACGGCTATTTAATATTATATGCACAAAGCAACTGGCTTGACGTCTACACTGTCATCACCATCATTATCATAGAGGAAAAACCTAATTATCATTTCTTTCCAAGGGCAGGATTCTCTCTGCTTCTCTCTGAGACTTATGGCTGGTAATCTTTAAACTGAAGATGAGAAAGTAGGATATTTACATTTCTCAAACTCAGACTCAAATGATTCTCCTTCTAGGCCCCTTTAAGCACCTTCTCAGTCTACAAGGAATGCCAACAAAAATCAGAAAGCCTGGATTCTTATATGGGAGCGACAAGCACAGAGGAATGCACCCCAGGCACACCAAAGGGCCCACCTTGGTTGAAGCTGCACTGGTTCCTGGCCCCTGAACGTGTGGTTTTGTGGACTCTCATGAGCTGGCGTTCCTGCACTCCCCTGACACTCCGACTGGCTGGGCGCCACATGCTCTGTCTCCTGTAAGAAGAAACAGAAAAAGTAGATGAGCTGTCAGCAGCCATCAGTTTCACAGTATTCTTTGCTGGCGGGTAGGTCTCGTGGCAGCAGAGCAGCAACACACAGCATACTCTACCCAATGGCAGTGGGGGAGGGGACCAATGAGTGGTCCGAAATTTAAAAAGACTTTTTCTATCTGTTGGTTGCTGCAAGATAACAGAATAAAGAAAAATAAATAATATAAAACCCCTAATGTTCAAGAGGTATGATATCGCCATACCATAAAAATTTTACTATATTAAAAATGACATTATAAAAGCATGTTTCACGACTACGCCTAAAAATATAATTCCTAGAATATTTTTGGTATGGATCATTTTTGCAAAAACAAATATATGTATGAATGTTTATGCCTTCATATACTCACACAGAGCTTAAGATAATGTGAACCAAAATCTTAACAGTGAATAACTCTAAGATGGCATTTTTTTTTTTACAGATGGGGTGGGAAATTCACCTACATTTTTTACAATAAACATATATCATTGCTGTAATAAGGAATATTTAAATTAATGTGAACTAATTTTTATAAATTCCAAATGTCAAACATGCTTATCTCTTGATTGATTTCTCCTCTTCTTTCTCCCGCTCTCCCCGCCCCCCCCACACACACGCAAACACACACGATTGCCATTAGTTACACTGCATCCAAAGAAATTGCTACATTGGTCATCCCATGATGTAATCTACTAATTTACAAAAACCCCATAATGCTAAACTCTCTAGAGAATATCATAAACACACCCAAGCTAAAATGAGTCTAGATTCAATACAACTATACACACATCAAAAATGAAAGATCTATATATGTTCAGCAGTTGAACCAGTATAGTCTTTGAGCCACGTCCCAGTTTCAGACAAGAAAGAGTTCTATTTGTAGACACTGGTTCCCTAGACTTAGTAGCTGCTGTGAAAAAATCTACAGCTACCCAAGTGCTGGTCAGCCCCAAAAAGCAGTTTCCAAGTGAGATAAACTCTGCTTGCTGTTTGCTAAGTAGGCCTCAGTTTCCTTGTCTGAAAAATGGGGATGATATGCTAACCTCACAGGTTGCTGAGCAAGACCTTATTCGAACCCCTTTCATTGCCTGTCAACTGGAGGCATACAGTAAATGGGAACTATTGATGATGGTATTATTCCTTTTATAAAATCCCCTTGAAGCTCAATATTCTAAAACCAGTGTTAAGGATGAATTCAGCACAAGAAAACCTATTTTTGTGGTGAAATGCTTATTTCAGGTTTCCATACAAACGGTATTATTTTATACATCATATTTAAAAGCCCCAATACATGTAGGCCTAAAGAAATGACCCGTTTAATTTCTAAAGTGTTTTAACAAAAAAAATTACCATTTTTTCAAAACTTTAGCCTTTTAGGAAAGAGTAGGGTGTTTTGGTTGTTTGTTGTTGTTGTTTTTAATTTTCAAAGACAGCACTTATCCAATCCTTTGAACCTACAAAAGGTTGAGAAGTGTCAGAGGGCACAAACTCCTGGACTCCCCTGCATTTTTCTGTTTATTTTAGAGATAAATAAGAGGGGCTCTAGAGAAAGTGCTGCCTTACGCTGCTCAAGTCAGAGATCTCCAAGCATGGCAAAAAGAGAACATTTCTCTCGCATGGATGAATGAGGCGTGTCTGGGGACAGCTGACAGCCAACTCTGATCCAAGTGGAGGAAAAAAATGGCATTGTCACCTATGCTTCTCCTGCTTGCCTAGAATTGAAAACTTAGGGATGGTATGGAGAGTTGTGGAAAAAGCAAGGATTTTGGTATAAGTCATCCTGAATACTAACCAACAGAGTAGGCTCTCATGCAAAATATAGGCATAATTGTAATGCTGTCCTTTGCAATGACAAAATGTTAGGTCAACCTCCAAAGTGCTGGTCTCCAAAACCCCCTGAGATCAGAACCCAAGTTCAGCCTCTCTCAGAAAAAGCTAAATGGGTTCTTCCTTCCAAAGCTCTTATGAGTCTGAAAGTTCTTTTGTTCATAAAAATAAACAAACAAACAAACAAATAAATAAATATTTTAAGTTCAGGCCCTTCCTCTCCTTATCTCTCATGGACTATTCCTATGTCAACTAATAGCCCCAGCAAAGCTTGCATGAGAATCAATGAGGCTTCCAATGATTCTAACTTTGAGGCTACCAATCTTCCAGCTGAGGCCCCAGTTGGCATGGAACCCAGACAAGACCTCCCTATTGTGCCCTAAGAGAATCCTACCTCACAGAACCTATGAGAGGTAATAAATGATTACTGGTTTTTTTAAGTTTTAGGATTATTTGTTCCATCACTATAGATAACTCACCTTTCTTGTATTCTAAAATACCATCAATAATGAAAACCACCATCATTTTGATTAACTAATGGCTTTTTAGGGAAAAGCAATGCCACATTAAATGCACCCATCAATTTTAAGGTGTAGTCAGCTAAGAGAAAAGCGAAAGCGTGACAAGATGTGTATGTTAACATCAAGAAGCCTCGTAGCAGGCCCCACAGAGACAGCATGGTACTGTGAGGGATACAAAAGAAGTCTTATAAAGGAGACACACAAGAAAAAGCAACTTCAAGAGTCTAATCTGGAAGTCTCAAAAACCTCATAGAAAATAGAGGAGTGAACCGCAATCCTTATTTGCCCCAGTATGCAAAAATAATTTTATGTTTTCTCTCAAAGAAGGAAGGCAAACAGTAAGGGAATACCATACTTACTGAATTAATAGAACAGTACCTTTCAAAGATGTTGTGCTACTAGTTAGCATCTATTTATAAGGATATAAAGAAAAAAAATATAAAATGAGAACAATAAGAATCCTATTTATCTGTTTCTATATCAGAGATTTAACCAGACACATGAGAAAGCAGGACTCTCCCTCTTGGTGAGCTCACATCTCTCTTCCAGTTGGACTCTGCCACCTGGCCAGGGGCCAGGTGAACTAGGACGGCCAAAGGAAGTCCTTGTGGTACACAATGTACTTGCAGATGAATGAGAGTTAACATTCTCCCTACCTCCCACCCCAAGGTGACAACACCTGGATAAGATATAAAGAAAATATTCGATTACCTTTGCCCATTTAAGCTTCATTACATCTTTGTTCAGAATCTGCTGTAACAGGCAGCTCATCAAAAATTCTAGAACATTAAAGCAGAGTGTTTATCTTGAAATAATTAAGATATATATTTACTTTAAAAAAATCACCTACAGCATACCAAGGATGTAGATTGTTAAGGGGGTTATACAGTGAATGAGACATTCCTGCCCTCAAAGGATATTTAAAATCTACTGTTTGGTAGAGACTAAAGTGTAAGGGGAAATGCTCTAACTTGCTTACTTCTGTGTTAATGCATTTATCAAACGGGCAGATCCAAGCTGATCTAGGCAACTAGGAAGGGAGAAGCCAAGGCCCTCTCCTCCAGCGAGCTGGCCAGGTGAGCCTGGATGGGCACCTTGTAAGGGCACTCACCCTACCTCTTTCCCTGCTCCCAGCCATCCCCCGTTTATTTACCCTTTGCCTCAGTTCCTTTGTGCTCCAAGCCCAGCCTCAGTGATTTGTTGGTTCTCTGCTATTTGCAGGAGCAATCAAATTGACTAAGCTTGGGAGAAATTTCATAAGAAAGCTGTCCACAAAACAAATGTTATTAGGTTATTGTTTGATTCATAAGCAGAGGCGAGGATAGTGTACATGATGAAAGGAGAGAAGCTGTCTCTTATGTTGAGAGGCTCAAAATCCCTGGCTGAGTTAAGGAAAAATTAGCTGCCCCTAAGCAGAAATGGTGAAATATACTTTGTCCTTGGAAGGATTTCAGTGAACTCAGCTGTCTCTTGTATGACTTGATAGAATCTAGTTATGATCCAGCTGCATGGCCACTGCCTTCAGGCCCTTACAGGTTCCCCAATTTATACAAATGCAAGACCTAGAGAAAGAAAATGATTTTCCATCTTAATCCCAGTTCTTGACCTTCTCCTCTAGCTTACCCAAATCAGAATGCTACCCTTGGGCCTCAAGGACAAAGGCATCCTTTACATCTTTCTTCCAAAATATGGTCAACCGAAACAGTAACTTTTTCATCTTCTCACCTTGAGCTTTATCTGGGTTCATTTTATTCCAAAACTGATAAAATCATTTCTTCGACTGCTGACTTGAATTTCTAATTAAATGGTTTTATAACTAATCACTCTATTGCTAATAACAATACCTTGCATTTAGGAGAGCGTGTTTCTCCCCAAGAGCTCTAATTACCACATGATTAATGCATCTGATGTCTCCATAGTTTAGAAAACCATATATATTCAGCTCTTACAACAAACAAGTGCAAGTATATCTATTCATTCCTACATCACCTTATTGTTCTTTTTACATTAAATATGCATATGTCTAAAAGTGACAGAAACTCTTTTGACTTTGGGAATCTTAAAGGCCTTTACCCTGATTAAAAGAACTATTGGATTATCACATTTATTTAATAATTGTAACCCTGGGAAAGCTGAGTTAAATTTCCTTTTTAAATTATGTGTCTGATTATTACAGGCATCTCTTGAAATATTGTGGGTTCAGTTCCAGACTGCAATAAAGCAATTCATAACCTTTTTGCTGGTGAAGTTCCTGCCTTCAATTTGCAAAAAAAGGGCAATATCTGTGAAGCACAATAAAGCTAAGTACAATACAATGAGTAACGCCTATATTTAAAATGTTCAGGCCCTTTAAGAAAAGAAAACAAGAGAAATGTTTCTTCAGACCTATTTTTTAAATGCTGTCTGCTTACCTTAAGTCATTATTTCAACACAGAAAGACAACCCACACATATCCACAGAGTAAGATCTCCACTAATCCTATTTCCTTATCTGTGATACCAAGATATGCCCCAGTTTACTGCTTACAGTTGTAAGCATTTTTAGTAGAAAATAGACATTCAAATTGTGTTGTTTATCTTATCCTCTTTCCAAATCAAATATCATTCACTGACTGCCTGATCAACATCGGGCACCAAACTGGGCACTTTAACCTATTATTTCCTCATCTAAAACTACAAGGTGGGTTTTACTCTTCACCAGTTTTCCCCAGTAAGAACCAACAAGTGAAGACAAGACAGGTGACTTACCTAGGCCAAAGAGATTGTCTTTTATGCAAGAGATGCCTTCCTGAAGACCCTGCAAAATCTGACTGAGGTTTATGTATTTTAAGATCATTTCCATGATGGAAGATAGTGGGTATTTCTTTTCTATAGCTAAAGTGGAAATATTTCAATAAAATAAGCAGCTTATTATTCAGCAAACCCAAAGAGCTTAGAAATTATACAAACCTATGGGGAGGACTGCATTATTTCAAATTGCTTGCATTGAGAAGCTTAATACTTTATAGTCAATATTTAGTCAATATTTAATTCAAAATTGCATAAAATAGGACCATGCTGTATCACTCAAGTGAGCTAAAGAACTCGGATCTTAACTCCAAATCTTAAAATCCAAATTCAGAGTTCTTTGCACTATCTTTCAATATCCCAAGTTTTCTACCATCAATGGCAAAATTAAAAATTTAGCAGTGCATTTGATGCCCTTCACTCAAGGGAATACAATCCATGGATTGGAAGAAGTAGAGTGGAGTGCTCTTCCCAAGGGATTTTGGGATTTTTGGAGTTTCTCACACTTCAATTTCCACCCTGTGAAAATTTGGGAGTCTCTCATACCCCAATTTTCCACCCAGAAGGATTAGAACAAACTCGAAGAGCTCAGACAAAAAACAAGCAGAGCTCCACCCAAGAGAAGCTTACCAGAGATCCCGGAGGCGGCCAAAGAGGCAGTGAACCAAAAGGCTCCAAGGGCACCTTCACCTGCATCTAGAGCCGTCCCCGGAATCTTCAGTGGCTGTCTCTGGGTCCAGTCTCGTTGCCAGATGGTCAAAAGACAAAACTGAAACAATTTAGTAACGAGTTTGATGTCCTTCTTTAAGGGAAAACAATCCATGGATTGGGGGAGTACAGGCCCACACAAGCAGTAAGCACTCCTCCCGAGGGATATTGGGCAAGAGTGAGTTTTATTTAGAAGTGGTAACACGGAAACAGTTCCTCATTGGCTGGGTGGCCAGGGACTTCCTTGTAAGGCTAGTGGGCCCTGTTCTCTAGGGTAAGGTAAACCAGCTAAAGCTGAGTTGGAGGATTGTGATTGGTGTATGTTAAATTTCTCTGACAGGTGTCAGGTGCCAGTAAGTGCAGGCTGGTTTGGGTTTAGATTGGTGATGTGGGCTCGGCCACCGGGCGGTCTCCATTTTCTAGGTCCTGATATATGAATTAACTTTATCATTATAGAGTTGAGAAGTATCCTATGCAAATCAGCATGAACACAGTCACATTTAACAAAATGTAACAGGAAGGTGGCCCTGGCTGGGTAGCTCAGTTGATTAGAGCCCTGTCCCAAGATGCCAAACCCATGGGTTCAATCCCCAGGCAAGGCACATATAGGAATCAACCAATGAATGCACAAATAAGTGGAACAAGAAATTGATGTTTCTCTGTCTCCCTCTCCTTTCCTAAAATCAATAAAATTTTTTAAAAAAAGAGTCATAAGATATGGGTTCTTGATGGTACTTATTTATTTCCTCCTTTATAGCATGTGGATAAAGGATACAGGGACTCCACAGTGAAAGAGACTGACAAAGAAAGGGAGGTCTTCCTTTAACGAGCCTGCTCTAACTGGGGGTTGGAGGCAAGTGGGGAGTGGAAGGATTAACCAGCTGTGAAAGAGGCAAGACTAGCCGCCCTGGGTGCTAGGACTACATAAAATAAGTCCCTCACTCCAAGAATTCTCAAATTTCTGCTTCTGCCTCACTGGGAACTCAGGACTTATACAAGCCTACAACTCCCATACTCACTCTAATTTTAACGTATTGCTGAGTCTACAGAAGACCCCAAACAGGAAAAAGCTCAAAGGAAAGCAGAAGGCAAACAAATTCTGGTTATGATCACTCTGCTCTACCCCTTAGAGCCCTGGTATCCCAAACTGCCATGCCCAGGCTCTGAAAAGTGTTTCCTCTGACCTTTGAACCAGCCTGATCCCTCGAGGCATATGGAGTCTCTGACTTAATCATTGTAACTCTGGGGAATCTGGATTTGGGCTTCTGAGTATAGTCATTCATCATTCAAATATGTGGTCCCTACCAAGCGCTACATTCTATAGTCTCCCTAGGACCTGCCCTCAGGGAGCTCGCACTCTAGCGTGGCAATGGTGGTGGTGCTAGTGCGGGGGTCAGGGGGACGCAAATCAAATACAGGCAATTACAGTATAGTGCGACTGATGTTACAACAGGAGAAAGGCAAGTGTGAGATGCTCCGGGAACATATAGGAATGACACCAAACTCAGCTCATCGGAGAAATATCACTGACGTGGCCTAAAGGATGAAGCAGAGAGATGGGGAGACAGAATGTGCCAAGGCAAATGTGTGTAAGTGAGAGCATGGCATGGGCAAGGAGCTCACAGTGGCTGACTGTGCTGGGGGTTAGAGTCAAACATAGTTGGGGATGGTGATCAAAGAAACAGGCCAGGCACAGGCAGAGGCCAGATCATATGAACTCTCTAAATCTTTAAAAATTTGAGCTTTATTCTGAAGGCAACAGCAAGCCACTGAACATTATAAGTAAGACACATTTAGATTTGCACAGGAGAAAGATCACTGGGGGCCTGTGGGGCAAACAGATTAGAAGGTGAGGAGGGAAAGGGGAAGGAGGGAGGGCAGTTGGATAATTAGAGCACCCCGCGCAAGAGGCGCTTGGCGTTGCAGAGGTGTTACCATGGAGAAAGACTGATTGGTTTAAAAGATTATGAAAGGTAGAAACAGTAGACCTGGTGACTGACAGGGTGTGGTTGAAGGAGAATGAGAACCGAAGACGATACCAACTCTCCAACTAGGAAAATGGATGAATAGCGTCGCTGCTCCTGGAGATGGAGACAAGAAGAGAAAGAGTATTTGGGGAGAGGTGGGCATTAGTGCCCCTGAGGCATCCAAGCAGGCAATGATAAACAAATGAGCTGGAGCCCCAGGTCCAGACCGGGGCTGGGACTCTGTGAGAAGGAGCATGAGGGTGGCCGAAACTGCAAGTGGTGCAACACCGTTCAGAGAGCAGAGAGAGAAGAGAAACCCTGGAAGAGAACACTGAGAAATGAAATATTTTTGAAGTGATGACATATTATTAACTTAAAAATCAAGCTGCAACATAGTATATATAGCAAGAACCCATGCAGAGAGGTGAAAGGGAAGACCAAATATGTGTATCTCCATGTGTGCATATGGGCAATGGTGTACTTACTTTCTGTAGGACATATTAATATATAAACTACTTCGCTGCTTGAATTGTTTAATGAGTATGTATGTATTGCTTGCATAATTTAAAACAAGAATACTTCATTTTAAAAATATTTAAGGGACAGGCAGGTAGAAAGGAGACTGCAAGGAAGACCAAGAAAGGGGGATGGAAAGAAAATACAAAGAGGGAGCTTATTGCCTGGCCTTTATTATGTCTTACTTGAGAATGCTAAAGGATTTTAACTTAGGATAAAACAATCAAAGAAATATTAAATATTGTATAAGTGCATTCAACTGTATGATTTTTGTCTGAAGATGTTACAAATGGGGTTCTTTAAAAATAGATGCCACTGTTTATTACAGTCTGCTTATGTTAAATTTTAGTAAAGATACATAATTTTACTTATATAAAAAGGTAAAGGAATTAAGGAAAAAAACCCATCATAGACAGAGAACAGTATGGTGACAGCCGGAGGAAAAGAGGGTCGGGGAACGCAGGTGAGGGTAAATGGGGGATGAACGGTGCTGGAAGGAGACTTGACTTGGGGTAGGGAACACACAATACAATTTACAGATGGTATAATATAGAACTGTACACCTGAAACCTATATGTTCATTAACCAATGTCCCCCCAATAAATTCAATTAAAAAGTAAAAATACTAAAAAAGAAAAAAGATATATAATTTTCAGCAAAGAATAAAAAAATCATAACCAAATAGGACAATTGGAGCAGAGAATCAGCACCTATGAATATGGCAACACAACCTTAAGCCTTCCTATTGGTACTTCGTCATATCCACAGGCCAGAGGCAAGAAGGGAAGTGCAAAATGGCATCTTCGTCAAGCCTGCACTCCCTTCATAGTCAAATTGCCTGTCAAGCCTATTAATGAAGCTAGTCACTTATTTTGACTTTGAAAAGATTACTATAATTTTAAGAATCAGAAGTGCTAATTTCAGCGATTTTAATATAAATTATTTATGTATGTTTTAAATCATCTCGCTTTGAGTTGAGATTTAAGCCTCTTTAAATACCATTTATTGACACTATAGAGCATTACCTTCCCAGGAAAAGCCACCTTTTATTACTTATTTCACTGAGAAAGTGAAGAGCCTGTTGCTATGGAATCTCTATCATGTTATTTTCTGAAGTTATTAAACTGTCTGTTATTCTTTGCTTTCAAATATCCCTCAATGTTTCATTTCACAAGCTCCCTTATTTATTTTATTTAGTTTAACAAGAATCAAATTATTCTCCTACTCCCAAGGCAGTCATGAGAAAAATCCAAAATTAACATTACAACAGTTACCCCAGCTCCTCAAACTTCTCCACTAGGAGAATTAGAGAGCCTTCAGCTCCGAGAAAGCTCCACACTCAATGAGCAGTGGGCAAAGGGGGCCTTCCAATTCTGGTTATTAGAAAACTCTGTGGTTCCACGATGGTAACTTATTAAAATATTTACCAAACAGTTTCTACAATGCCAGGGATAGTTCTAGCTGTGGGACTACAGTGGCAAACAGAACAGATTACCACTCAGGAAAACAAAAAAAAGGAGGAGGAGGAAGAGTGAGAAGAAGGAAGGAGAAGAGGAGGATGAAAAAGAAGAAAGAAGAAGAAAGAAGGAAGAAGACAGAAAAAGAAAGGTCAATGTTTTTGCCAAGTCAACCCTGATTCCTCCCTATTTCCTACCTTCTGTACTAATGGATGATCAAATCAATAAGACTAAGAGCACCATGGATGCAAAATATTCTTCTAAGAAGATCCCTTCGCACTCTTACCCTCACTCAACTCACACCTACTGCTCTCTCAGTACAATTTCCTCATTCCAGAGATGCCTGCCTTACTCCCGTCTTATTTACATCCTCAGTCAGTTTAGGCTGCTGTAGCACAAATATCAAAGACTGAGTGGATTAAACAATAGAAATTTATATCTCGCAGTTCTGGTGCTGGGAAGTCCAAGATCAAGGGGCCAACCAATTCAGTCCCCAATGGCAGCCCTCACACTGGCTTGCAGATGGATGACTTCTCACCCTACAACAGGGAGAGAGGAAGCAGGCTCTCTCGGCTCTTCTTTCAAGGGCACTGACCTATTTCCCAAAGGCCCCATCTCTAAACACCATCACATTGGGGATTAAGGTTTCAACATTTGAACTTCGGGAGAATTCGAACATGCATCCCCGGACTGGTGTGGCTCAGTGGATTGAGTGCCAGCCTGTGAACAAAAGGGTCGCTGGTTTGATTCCCAGTCTAGGGCACAAGTCTGTGTTGCAGGCCAGGTCCCCAGCAGGGAGCATGCAAAAGGCAACCACACATTGATGTTCCTCTCCCTCTGTTTCTCCCTCCCTTCCCTTCTCTAAAATAAATAAATAAAAATTTTTTTTAAAAAAAAACATGCAGTCTGCACCATATATACCATATCCCATAGTCCCCCTCAAATCTCATCTCCTCTAATGACTTGAGGCCACAAAAAAAAAACCCCAAAACAGCCCTGTCTCTCTTCTCTGGACTGTCCTCACATTCTGTGCATTCAGTCCTGTGCAGGCTTGGTTTGCTGTATACACAGAATCTGTGCTTTTGGCTAAAGTCCCCCAAGTTAGAACATAAACACTCCAAGGGAGGATGTCTTTATCTTGCATTTTTTTTAACTGTCTCAGAGTGCTTCAGCACCTTACAAAATATTTGTTGATTCACTCAGGCACCAGTGACTGAT